ATCGGGGAAAATTCGATTTCAAAGCCACGTGTCGCGTGCGCATTACGCAATAATTGCACAACTGACGGATTATTACATTTCCTACGATCGTTGCGTAAAAGTCTATCGATTCCATTAAAATCGACGACTTCGATTGTTGCATTGAATTTGTAAAACGTGTCTTCGTTTCAATATTTTTTTAGAATAAAAACAACTGTGTGTGTGTGTTATTTCTCAAAATTTCAAAATTATAATCATCGTTCTCGTTTCTCAATCAAAATTCTTAGGAATCACGTTTCCTAAAAACGTCAGGCAATTTAATCGTGAATACGCGAAAGGTTTTTATTGCGAATTCTGAAATAAATGGAATAATTTCTCATTTGAGAAAGAAAAAAATTCATTATAATAATAGTAAAAAAAAAAATAAATAATTACGTATTCTTTTTTTTTTTCTTTTCTTTTCATCTTTTTTTGAATAGCGCGCTTTAACAGCACGTGTTCAGCACGTGCTTAATAACACGAAACGAAAATCTAGAGACCTTTGAGTTAAAAATAAAACTGTTTAACTCTACGGAGTACATTAGTATGTGTATATGTATTTACGTACAATTGCACATATTTGTTACTCGATAATTGTGTTGTACGACCAACGCGCATACATATACACGCGCATGCTCACAGGGCTCACTGCTAACCAGAAAAAAATTATAGTAAACGAGCGGCTCGCTCACCCGTGCTAGACATTCGGAAGGTTTTTACGCGGGTCAGGGACATATTCGGAGGCGTTGCCTCTCTTAAATTTGTCCTCCACACTCAAGCCGCTTATTAATACACACGTAACACATACGATATACTTTATCGTCTGGTTATTGAACTGTTTTTCAATTTTGTCTCTAGAAAAAAAATGGATATTTCGAGGTGAACGATCGAGCGATCTCTGTTAAATATTTAACGCTTGAATACATTAGAAATTTTCGAGGTCAAATTAATAAAATATGACAAAAATAGAAGGTAACCAGGACTACGTTCGATCCACATGTAACGATGATTCGTCACGTTCGTAATTTTTTTTTTTTTTTATTCCTTTACAAGTATCGCCAAGGACGATACAACTCGGTGTACCGTTAAATTATTTGATACTTCATACTCAATAGATAGGAATCTTAGGTAGGATTGTGTAACTCTTTCGTTGAAGGATCTTTTAGCGTAAATAATTTAGTGATGTAGAGGAGTGGAAAGAAGTTAAAAAAGAATCACACTGTAAAGTAAAAAGTTAAACATTGAATGCAACTTAATGCTTCAATTAGCGTTCGTTATCGACCTAGTCGTGAGTTTAGTCGTGAGTCTAGTGAATCTAAATAGTTTGGATATTAAACACTTCTAGTATGTAGGTTAGCATAAAACTTTCTCACGTATCTACGGCATCTTTCTAAATATACGTTGACATCTGCTATTTCTTCTGTTATCCAAATCGCTTTCCCTTACCCAACGTATATACCAACCGTGGTGTATAATAATTTCAGGTTACATCGTTATCACACTGCCATAAGTGTTTTACGATACTCTCTTGTTATCAATCTACCACTATCAAGAGGTAGTAAACTCGTTCCACGAATCCCTTGTACCTTCTTCTCTGTTAAATATAAATACAATCCAAATTGACGACGCGTCAAAGTAAATAAAAAATAGAAAAAATAATCTGCTCTGTTTTCGTTTTTTGTCATCGAGAAGGCGGTCGAAAATCAAAGTTGAAAATCAATGTTGAAAAAAATAACTGATTAAAAATTTCGAGTAAAGTTATTTATTAAGTAATTATTTATTAAAATATTCGTAATTATTATTATGTTTCAACCAATAAATTATCGTAATTATCGAAGTAATTCGTAACTTTTAAACTATTAAATTTTCCCCATCACTGTCGAAAACTTACGTACTGCGTGAATGGAAAAGGAGAGGATGCTGCTTGCAACCAGGGCATGTCGGCGGAGATAGGAGCGGGTCGTGGAGAGAAAATCCGCGGTGTTTCGTGCGGCGTAACAACTTTCTTTCCTCGGATAAGGACGCGTGGGTAGCGGCCGAACGTGGGGGACCACCTCGAGGAGGAAGCGTTTCCTAGGGTAACGGCCAAGGAGCCGCCGTGTTCAAGAAAACTTTCTCCACGCCCGCGACTACACGAAATGGAAACCTTGGAAATCATTCTTGGAGAGAAGTTTCGATCGAATCTTCGAATTTATTTTTTTTTTTTTTCGGAAATTGTTTCGAAAATGAAGAAAATATTTTTTTTTTTTTTAAATAAAATTCTAAAATTCTAATCTAAATTTCTAAAAATAAAAATAATTTCTTAAAAGTCGAGATTAGAATTGGGCTAAAGCGATCTTTTGGTCGTTCGCCAAATGTGATTCTAAATATAATTCATTCATCTTTAAAAATCTTTGTATAATTTTCGTTTTTATTATTATTGGAACGATAAAATTAAATATAGGTGCACCTATGCTTACGTTACGGAAGGTGCGTCGATAAAAATAATTGGATTCCATATTTACAAAATATATGTATGTGTAGATAATATAAAAGAAAAAGAAAAAAAAAATCATTGACTTAAGTGATAATGATAATGATATAATAAAGTATGCATAATAAAAAACAATGAAGGAAAGACAATAAATAATAACACGGTTTATTCGTCATAGATAACGATTCGATTAAGGTAATTAGTATCGTCCTGTGGTCCAACAAAACACCTGTGACGTAATATCGATACATTCTGGTGTGCTCGTTTCGTTAGACTGATTTTATCGATGTCTTGCGCACACAGGAAATTCCGACACAAAGTGGATAGCAAAAATAAAAAATACGTCAAAACATCGAACGAAGGTATATCGAACTATTTTTTGTCATTTTCGATGGAATGTTTTAGCATAGTAATTTAATATAAAACGTTTATTTGCATCTATGCGAATATTCCAAATTATAATTTACAATCGAGTCTGCTTGTTATCTCTGTTCATCGCTTTGAATAATTTTGTTAGCTTCGTTGAAACGTTTCGTTCGTAAAACTATTTTACCGTAGCTCGATTAAATTTAACATCGGCATTTGATTTTATCAACTTTCTTAAAAATTTCTCTTTAGACGAGTCCAATTCCTTGACGTAAACGTGATGAAAATAAAGAAAAATCCTATTAATTTTCGTCGCGTTAGCAAAATTTCAAATGTTTGCATTGTTTGAAGGTTATGCTGCTCGTTATTCACAGACGTACGGTTACGATACTTATGTCCTTACTTGTTCGAATTTCAACAAGTCATTGCAACCCAGAGAAAAGGAAAAATTGAAAAAATCTTCTTATCCTTTTATTAGCTGTGAAACACGTGGTGACGAGTGAAATTATGAAAAAAGGAAACTTGAAATTTTCACGAGACAGGCAGAGATAGGAACATCAAATATTCCGAAGGTAGGTTAGCTCGATTGGGAAATCAAAGAACGGAAGACACGAACGTGGTCGCTCGTCGTTTGCGGATTGCGAAATATAAAATTCGGCGTTACATCAATTTCTTACTATATATTATTGTTCGTTGAATGAACACAAAATATTTTTTTTTTCTTTCGGATAATATTTCGTGCAAAAATGTTTTTGAAAAGATATGTAATAAACATGGAGATGTTATTAATAACATCGTGTTTATTGTAAACAGATTCATTTGATTTTTTTGATTTATGATTTATGATAGAACGTTGATCGAGATATTTTTTTACCATTTTCATGTAATTTGTTGATTTTCCATCGTTATCAAACAATATTTCTACGGATCGATTGAAATGAACACGTTACCTTGAAAACATAATTTTTTCCTAGAAAATGAACGTTTAATGTATTATACGTTAAAAATTGAATCGTGATCAAATTGATTAAAAATTTAATCAATAATTCATAGTGTTATGTTATTGACTGCATTATGCCGAATAAATAAAAATTTACGTACAATGAAATCGAATTAAAAAATCGCTTAATAGTTACATGTTCGTATATTAAATGTATTTAATATACGATATTATTGCAATGAGCTATTCTCGTTCACTCTTTGGTCACGCTTTCTCTAAGAAATTCGAGACAGAGCTTTGCTTTTCCATTTGTACAATATACTTAGCAATTATATTTTATTTAAAGTTATTTGAGATAGATACTTGTATATCCTGTATTGTATTGATTTACAATTGATACAAGTGCATGGAAACAATATTTATATTCCAGAAAAAATCTATTTTAACCTTGTTTTTACATCGATATATCTTCGTGTAAAAATTTGAAATTTAGTTTCTATATTTAATAAAAATATACATATTTATAATAAGAGTTTTTTTTTTTAATGATCTTAAATAATTTTAATATTAATAGTGTTGCGATGCACAATATTTGAAAGATAAAAATTGATTCTTGACAGACTCGTAATCAAATTAATGATCTGAATAATTGCTGATCGAACGTTATTTGATATTTTGTGGTATAATTTTGATAGTTCTTTTCTGATGTGAACCTATTCTTCTGTGAATTTTAAAATGCATGGATTGAAGATTGTTATGTTTTTAACACATTATATCTCTGAAAGGAAGACAGAAGCTTCTTCCAGTGGAAACAATTGCGAAAATTTTTGGAATATTTCCGATACTGGAATAGTTCGATTTTAATAGTTTTTTTTATGAGAGAATAGTAAGTATTTGTACTCACTCACTACTGGAGAATCTTCAAGATTTTTAATTTATGATGTTTGAAATCTATCTAGATATAGAAAATAAATTATTGTAAAGAAATTATGAATTACATACCATTTAAGTAAACTAATATTTCATGATGAACGATGAAATTCTATATTTTTTCGTTTAAAAGTAACGATAAATTTTTAACCGTATCGGAAACCTTGTCTACGTTCTTTGTTATGAAAAATTATTAGTATGCAGATACTCATATATCTCAATAAATATCGAATTGATATGTATTATTGTTATGGATAATTGTTATATTATTATTTGATTGTGAAGTCGATGAAACATTAAGAAATGAAGAATAAATTATTTTTATTCCTATAAGAATAATTTCCTATAAAAATATTTTAGCTTGCTTTCTTCTTCACTTCTATGTTTATATTTTAAGTGATTTAACAAATACTTAAATAATGTTTTTAACTATAGATTCGAGAAATATTTAGAGAAATATATTTAAAATTTCTTCCCAAGATAACTTGAAATAAACTAAAATTGTTGTTTTGCATTAATTCTTATTATTACATGTGAAAATATGTGATAGAATTATCTTTATACATAATATAATTTATATTATCTATTATATTATTATCTTTATAATATAATATAATATTTGATGTATATTTATGTATATTTCACAACAAAGTAGAAAAATTTCAAGAAAAATATTGATTATTATGTAGATTAAAAAATATAAAATTTTTACATTTAAATTTTTTTATAAAATAAATCGATTCTATCGAATATGTGATTCTATCGATGTGCATCATCGATTCATCGAGAAGTTTGATAAAAGTCGAATAATGAAAGCCTAAAATGGCGATCAGTAGACGCTAGTAACAGCTGTTCTGACGCTAGGAAGGTATTGGAGTGTAAAATTTATATATCTTTCTTTTTTTTATCATTAATTTAATTGAATATATATTTGATAAACTTAATAATACCAATGATTAATTGGAAAAAATCAATCTATTACATATATTCAAAGAAATAAATAAACGAAAATGCTTGTCAAGATATAGGTTATCGTATTTACGTATAGCCTGAAAATGATTTTTACGTTTATAACATTTTATTAAATAAAATAAAAGAAAAAAGAAAATTCATTTTTTAATAAAAAACGTGCCAAAATGTCAAATTCGATTCCTCCACGATGGCTTCATTGTCCACGGAAAGCAATCAAATTAATTCAAAATAAGTTCCTTGCTTTCAAAACTCCATTGTCATCTTCATATGACAACCAAGTACCAGAAGAATGTCGGTTTACAGTGGATATGTTATTCGCATCGTTAAAAAGTCAGAAAATAAAGTTAGGTTTATGGATTGATCTAACTAATACTACAAGATTTTACGATAAAAAAAGCTTAGAAGCGTATGGTTGCAAATATTTAAAGTTACAGTGTAGAGGTCATGGTGAAACTCCTTCTGAAGAACAAACAAGAACATTTGTGCAAGTTTGTAAAAAATTTATATCATATAATCCATTAGAAGTTATTGGTGTTCATTGTACACATGGTTTCAATAGAACTGGCTTCCTTATAATTAGTTATTTAGTAGAAACTGATGGTACTAGTGTTGATGCTGGTTTGGCAGAATTTGCTAATGCAAGACCACCAGGCATATATAAAGGTGATTATATTCAAGAATTATTTAGGCGATATGATGATATTGAGGATGCTCCTGATCCTCCACCAAGACCAGCTTGGTGCTTAGAATATGATGATTCTAATGTAGAAGATAGAGATGAAGGTCCAAGTACAGATAATGATAATTATAATCAAGATATATTCAATAAAAGAAGAAGACGTGAATTTAATAATAAAAATCCAGTATTTATGGCTGGTATACCTGGAGTGAAACCTATTTTAGATAATAGGAAATTAAGTGGAATACAAAGACGTGTTCAAGATATCTGTTCTTGGAAATCAACAGGATTTCCAGGTTCTCAGCCAGTTTCTATGGATGAAGATAATATTAGATTGTTGCATGAAAAACCATATAGAGTGTCATGGAAAGCAGATGGGACCAGGTAAGATGGCGATATATTTCAAACATTGAAGATTTTGAAATATTAAAATATCAATTGTATTAGATTGATGATTATTATTATTGTATATAGGTATATGATGTTAATTCAAGCGGATGGAGAAATTTATTTTATAGATAGAGATAATAGTATATTTCAAGTTAATGGAATGACTTTTCCACATCCAAGAGATATATCTAGAACTCTTAAAGATACATTGTTAGATGGTGTAAGTAATTTTTTATAGAATTAACAAAAATTTGAAATTATTAAATCAGTTATATAGAAATATTTTTATAGGAAATGGTGATTGACAAAGCAGATGGTAAAGAATATCCAAGATATTTAGTTTATGATGTAGTGATGTATGATAGCAGAGATGTTAGTAAATTGCGATTTCATCCTGACCGTTTTTGTATCATTGAGCGTGAAATTATAGGTGGCAGACATAGAGCAATGAAAGAAGGAAAATTAAGAAAAGAAATAGAACCCTTTTCAGTACGATTAAAATCCTTTTGGGATGTAATACAGGCTGCTAGTTTATTAAGTGAAAAATTTGCCAAACAATTAGGTCATGAACCTGATGGCTTAATATTTCAACCTGCTAATGAACCTTATTGTCCAGGACTTTCACGAGAAGTTTTAAAATGGAAACCTTTATCACATAATTCTGTTGATTTTAGATTAAAAATAGTAACAGAATCTGGGGAAGGAATTCTTCCACAGAAAGTTGGACAACTCTATGTAGGTGGTATAAAAGAACCATTTGACAGAATGAAAGTTACTAAACAGATAAAAGATTTAAATAATGCAATTATAGAATGTAAATTTGAAAATGGCAAATGGGTGTTTATGCGTGAAAGAACTGATAAATCATTTCCTAATTCATTCAGTACAGCTCAATCAGTATGTAAAAGTATTATAAAACCTATAACAACTGAACGACTTTTAGATTATATAAATAGGCATCGATTTTTACAAGATGATTCTGATCTTATGCCACCACCGAATAAAAAGCGTAAATGATTATATTTAGTTTTAATGGTACTACAATGTATTTAAAAATTAAAAAATAGATTTATTGTAAAATTTTAATGAATTTACAAGCATAAAAATTATTCAAGCTTTATTAATTATATCTAGCTTATTATATTCCATCAAACTTGTTTTAATTGCTGTAAAACTTTAATAATCTTAAATTGTTCATTCAATAAAGAAACTTTGTAATAAATCATGTGTGTTTTTTTTGTAAGTTATACAAGATATTTATTATATAATGTCTTCCTTGGATTAGAATTATTTTTATTGAAATAAATAAATTTTAAGATTATAAATTTTAATTTTTCAGATAGGACTGTTCTCTTATGGTATACAAAAGAATTGACAATAAAAGAAAAAAGATCGCTTCGTGTTAATGTTGAATTTGATCATGCCACATTAGTACGTTGGTCTCCTGATGGTAAAGCTTTTCTTATACATAAGGCTGTGGCAAATACTATTGAAGTTTATAAAATTTCCAAAAAATCAGATGGTACTTTAGCTTCTGCAGCTAAAGCTCTAGAATTTTCAAAGGTATATATTAAAATTTTATTTTTTATATTGTTTTTTTTTTTTTTAATACAAACTTTATGTTTTTTATTATTCATTTTTAGCGACATACTGAAGATGTAGTTGGCATGGATATTGCATGTACAGGAAAATATATTATTACATGCAGTAAATTAAATGATCTTATAGTATGGGATCTTAAAGGACAGATTCTTACAACTATAGAATTACATCTTGGATCAACATATAGAGCTCGAATATCACCTTGTGGACGTTTCATTGGCACATCTGGTAATATTTTATAAATTATTAATTTATTTTATTTTATTTTATATTTTATAATTTATCAATGTCTTAATAATTATATTTTATTATCTAGGATTTACTCCTGATGTAAATATATGGGAAGTAATATTTAGTAAATCAGGAGAATTTAAACAAGTAGCAAAGGCATTTGATCTTGCTGGTCATTCATCTGGAATACTTGATTTTACATTTAGTGCTGATAGCAGTAGTATGGCAACTGTATCAAAAGATGGAACTTATCGTTTATATGATACAAAAAGTAATAAATTATATAATGATATTTTTGCCATATATTTTCTGTCTTGAATTGTTATATTTAAATTGATTATTATATTAATATATTTATAGTTGAATTTGAAAAAGGAGAAGATCCTCATGTACTTCAAACTGTACAATGGGAAAATACAACAATAGCTAATATTATGCTCTCTCCTAACACTGAAGTTTTGGTGATATCTCATGGATCTTCATTAAGTTTTTATTCTACAATTACTGGTTTGTTAGATACTACAATAGAAGATATTTTTTTAGGTATTTTTCCATTCAATTTTTATAAATAATTTATATTTATTTAATCTATATTATATTTATTTTAACTATATTATGTATTACAGGACCTATTACATGCCTAGCTTTTGATACTGTAGGAGAATATATCTTAGTTGCTGGAGATAGACATATAAAGGTTTTTCGCAACGTTACTGGTTATCGAGTGGCAATCGAATCTGCCAAACGCAAACTTATGCAAAAGCAAACTTCGGCTACAAAAGAACGTTTAGAAAAACTCATTGAAGATAATAGAAAATTTCTTCAAATAATGGGAGAAAAGTGTCCTTAATGAAATAATTATAAAGTTTTTTTGAAGGCCAATAATTTTAAAATTGCATTTAAAAAAGATTGTTTGTAACATAATTTTTTAATGTATTTGAATAAAAAGATTCATACGCGCGAATTCATTTGTTTATAATAAATTGAAAATTTTTGATAAATTTAAATTCATTGTTTTTATGATATAAATCATATTATCAGAATTTACAGATTTGAAAAATGCCAGCTGAGATAAATATGTGAATTTTTTTGACCTTGAATATGTACATATTTATTTTTGACATCATTTCGTTTACTCTGTAGTTAATTGTGCAACACGAACCGCTATGCTTGCAATAATAGAGGTTTGCTATTAATATATTATCTTTCTAGTATGTTTTTATAAATTACATATAGATATACATTGCAGCAACCAATTTCCCTAATTGAATGGAATTTAATAAATGATTTAAATAGTTTACCAGAAAATAAAGATATTAGTATGTATATATCTCATATAGATTTTATACTTTTAAATATCAAATTCTAAAGATATTAATATTGTTTTCAGTTATAGATTTTCTTTTGGAAAGACTACAACATGGTCAAATTTATACATGGGTTGATTCATTACTCTTGACATTAAATCCTAACAATGAAGCATTAACATCTCATTTGTATCATTCTTCTAAATTTGATAAACAAATTGCTACTTATGAAACAAGTCCTCACATATTTACTATTGCTGCTAAGGCACATTACAATCTTATTAAGAAATTTGGACAAAATTCTCAGGTAGAACATTTAATGAAAAATAATAAATAATAATAAATTAATTTCTTTTGTAAATTTATTAGTGCATTATGAATTCAGGTAATTATTATAAGTGGAGAAACTGGAACAGGAAAAACGTTTAATGTTTACAAATGTTTAGAATTTTTTAGTAACATTAATAAAGCTTCAGTACAACTTTCTGAAGGAGATTATATGAATAATATAATGTTAAGAATTACAGACGCGTGTCATTTGATATCTGTTTTTACAACTGCATGCACTGAAAAAAATGAAATAAGTTCAAGACATGGAGAACTTATTAAACTTTATTATAAAAATAATATTATTGGTGCAACTATTAACTCATTTCTTTTGGAGAGAAATAGGGTAACAAGAGGTTCAGACGATTTTCAAATTTTTTATCAGGTTTGATTTATCATTTTCATTTATTCCTACAGTAAAAAGTTAAAATGTATTTATAATAATATTGAATAATATATTTCAGATGATATTTGGAATATCAGAGACAGAACTTAAAGATTTTTATTTATCTAAAGATAAAGATTATGATATATTAAGTTCTATAGATTATGAAAAAAAAAAATATTTTCAAAATGATTTTCAATATACTCTAAATGCATTGGATATGTTGGATTTTAAACCTGATCAAAAAAAACATATCTTTCAAATTCTTGCTTTATTGATTCATATGGGAAATATTAAATTTATAAAAAATAGTAAAATATGTATAATTGATTTTAGTAATAATAGTATGTTGTGCTAATTTTTTTAAATAAATATAAATAAATAAATATAAATAAATATAATATAAATATAAATAATACAAATAAGAAATTTTATATAATCTTTTTTGTAGAATCCAAAGAAGCTTTAAAAAATAGCTGTATTCTTGATTTTTTAATTGAAGATACCATGATAAAATTGCTTATAATCATTCTTATAAATCCGCAAAGTATTTGGCGAAAATACACCTCGTATTATCGATATCTTGTTACTATTGATGCATATCGTAATAGATTACATAGTATAATTAGATATATATATGATCTTCTTTTTCACTGGATTTTAAATCATGCAAACAATATTTTGTCTCTAAAACAACAATATTCTCAATGGCTTGGTATGTTAGAAATTTAGTATTAAAAATTCATCAAATTATATATATATTCTCTTTAGGTATACTGGATATCTTTGGTTTTGAATCTTTCAATAAAAATGGCATGGAACAGATTTATGTAAATTATGTTAATGAAAAAATGCAACAATATTTCATAGAATCTTATGTGAAAAATAGTCATGATAATTTACAAGAAGAAAATTTTATTGAAATTTGCAATCCTTTGCATACTATTAATTTATATAAAGAATGTTTAAACGTTATTGAAGAAAATTTATTTTTAATTTTAAATGATGTATGTAAAAAATTTTTTATTCAATTGTACATGAAATTTATTATTACAATAATATTTATTATAACAATTTTCATTTACAGGCTTGTCAATCGTTCGTAGTAATTGATATATTAAAGATAATTCAGTTGGTATATAAAAATTTACATAATATACAAAAAAAATTTTTAAATGAAAAAGAAGGAAATTTCATTATAGAACATTATTCTGGTCCTGTTGCATATTCTATAGAAAATATATTATTTAAAAACATAGATAAGGTATTAAATATATTTTGCAATTTGGAATTGTTAATAATTTTAATTTTTTAAAATTTTATTATAGGTTCCGAGTGAAATATCTTTAATTTTTAGTACAAGTAAAAATAAATTTCTTCAATCTTTAATTAATATTGAAGAAAAGCAATATTTATATATTGTAAAATTTACTATTAAAAAAAAAACAATGTTAGCTAAGTTAAAATATAATATGGATATACTTATTAAAGAACTTAGCAAATGTGATTTACATTATGTACGATGTCTTAAACCAAAGTAATATATATTTTTGCATAAACTTTTTTTATTATTTTTTTATATTTAATAATTATTTTTTTCAGTCGATTGATAAATCAGGAATGGAATCAAAAAGATTTTCAAAAACAATTGGCATGTAGTGGTATTTTTGATGTTCTGTCCTTAGCTAAATGCAAGTATCCTATTCATTTCTCTTATCGAGATTTTTATTTTTGTTATTCTAAAAAATTTACAGGTAAGTGATACAAATATTTTGTTTATTTATATATTATAATTACTATATATTATATCATATTTATTAAAATATAAAAACGAAAATATTTCTTAACCAGAAACAATTAATTTTGATAAATGTAAACTGATTGTGGAATCAGTTATATCTAAAAAAGATTTACAAACACAGATTTATTTTGGAAAACAATTGATATTTTTAATACAGCATATTTTTTTTATATTAGAATCCTATAAAAGAAATTATCATATAAAATGTGTTCATAAAATACAAGAATTTTGGATGAGACATAGTAAACATATTTTATTTTTATTTATGTATATATATATATATATTTTTTTATATTAATATAAATATTTTATATTAATATAATCTTATATTTTTTTAAAAATATTTTTTTTTACAGAATGTAAAATAACATTACCTATTTTAAAATATTTAACAAATAATTGTCAAATACAAAATGTTTCTGAAATGAATAAAAATATAATATCTGTTAAAATTATACTTGATCATGAATTGAAAAAATTAAATACTTCTGAAAAAAATAATAACATATTTTTCATTAATTCAATTTTTTTTAAAAATAATGATAAAACAAGCTATTCAAACTTTGTAATAAAAAATACAAAAGATAATAAAAATATTAATATATATAAAAATTTGAAAATTCATTCACAGAAAGAAAATAAGAATGATTCAATAAAAATATTAAATACTTTGGAAAAAATATATGTTCGTAAAAATTCGCAAACAAACTTAAAGAATTTTAATTATCAATTCAATCCAATATACATTAAAAATTTCATTAAAAATGATACTTCAAAATTTATGAGAAAAATCAATATTAATAATTTTTTAAAAGTTATTAAATATAGCAAAAATATTCATAAATATAATGATATAATGAACAATTGTAATAATAACAACAATAATTTATTGAAACAATATTTAGGATTACATGTTACTTCAATTCATATAGATTCTACAAAAAAAAATTATGAAAAAAAAAATTCTATATATCATAAAACAGTCAGTATTTTTATTTGATATTTGAATAAATTTTAAATATTCATATCATATCATATATAAATTCTAAAAATTTATTTATTCTTTTTAGGAAAATACTAATCTCATTCAAATGGATTCTTATCCGCTTTTTTATAAAAATGGAATTTTAAGTCGACGACGACTTACTGCAGTATGTGTTTTAAAATCATAATAGTATTAAAAAATAATACTAATGCTAAAAATAATTATTTCAGATACCAATAAAAATGCATATTCGAACTACATGTTTGATTAATTCACATATATTACCACGTAACAAATTACCACAAGGATTACAAGATTGTCTTTGATAAAAAGAATTAATATTTTAAAGTCAGTTATTATTTCAGTCTTTTACTTATTATTAGTTAAATAAATAAATTAATTAATTTTTCTTATTATATTTTTTAGCAATATACAGAAGATATTGTACATATGTTCATATATAGAAATATATCTACTATTATAAATAGTTATAAATATTAAATTTTATATGAATGCATTGTAATATAAATAAAAAATTATACTTCACGTTTTCTCGCTTTAACGAGAAAATGTTAAAATATGTTTATATGTATGAATTTTGAAGTATAAAATGAAATCCTTTTTAAAAAAATTTTGTTTGTTATGTAAAAAAAAATCCAAATGTGAATCTTGGATTTTTGGAAAATTGTTATTTAAATTATATACATCTATGTTTAAATTTATAAATAACCATATAATAAATTATAAGTATTAAAAGGCCTTTTTTTTTTATCTTTAAGTACTAATAATCTTCGTGAAGCTACAAGAGCAAGTGTTGCTTGTAATTCGCTTCTTAAAATTTGATAATTTGCTCTTAAACTAACACGTCTTAAATTACTTGGAGGTACCGGTCGTCCACCAGCGAATGCAAATCTAAAATTGTATTACAAAAAAAAAAAAAATACATAAAACAACTTCATTTATAATTTAAATGATATATATGGTTTCATACCTTATTTCTCGACGTGGACCTCGCAATGTAGAATCAGGAAATGCTGTTTGTCGATCCCATAATAGCCGATTACTTATTACTGGCCTAACATTAACATATTTTACCTTACTTTTAATAGTAATAGGAAGAGGAGCAGGCTTTTTATTTTCATTTATTGTACTCTTATATTGAAATGGTAAATATGGTAATAAAGAATCTCCATAATGTTCCATGAAAACTTCAATGTTTATAATGTGAGCTTGTGATTTTAAAAGAGCACAAATAGTAAGCTATAATTAAAATTATTTACATTACTACTTGAAAAAAAGTAATATAAAAAAAATATATTTTAAAATTAGCTTACAGCTATTTTTTGCCATAAAATAGAACTAGATAAGGCATATTTTAAAACAGAATGAACTGAAAGTGGAGATTGTAACTCTTGTTGAAAAAGTATTAAAGGTTGAATGCTAGCCAGTAGTTCCATAGCTAATATTCTTTTCTTATTATCATCTATATTTTCTTTATCTTCTTTTAAAAGCACATTCTCCAGTGTGGGGATGTATCTTTTAACATCAAAGATTGATTTTAGAATTATTAATAAATGTTAATATATTAAATGTACAATATTTATTTACTTATCAGCAGTAGAAGGCCATCGAAGCATTAATTTTAATATGCATGTTTTTAAAAGTGCTTCAAGATTTGGATTTATAAAATTTTGCCCTAAAAGTAATTCCAATAGCAATTCAGTTAATTTATTGACCTATAATAAAAAAAATATTAAAGATCTTAAAATACCTAATTTTTTCACAGATCATTTAGAAGAATTCATATGATCTTATTGCTGATATTACCGAAGTTAAATGATATGGATAAATAGCTTCACTATTGCTTGCAATTGCAATAATAAGTTGACATGTCCTTGTGGATACTCTTGTATATTGTACATTATTTGAAATTATTATAAATCTAGCAATAGACATTAATTTGTCTACTACACCTTCTCCACTCAAATGAGCATTAGTAGAACAATCATTAATTAAAACCTATTAATTATTTTTTTTATAATTTATGAAAAATATCATATAAATTAAATTTACTCTACCTGAAATGTTTTTTGAGATCCATTGAATAATGTTTTTAATGCACGTTTTGCATAATTATTTCGTGTTTCTGTAAGTCTTATATCACATATTTCAGATTCTATGAAAAATATCAAATATATCATTAATAAATTGCAAATAATATTAATATGATCAAATTAATGTTTATATAAGAAAACATTAAATAAAATATAAATAAGAATACCTTGAATAAAAGGTACATTGTTCTGTGATATACTAAATGGATCATTTACTTTTTGTACTAAATTAACAATACGTTCATTAGGAACAAAAACTTTTGCTTCAGTATGATATTCTGGCATAGATTCTGGTGCACCTAATATTGGATCTACATCACATAAATTAGTAATTACAGCATTTACATCCATAGATGTTAAGCGTTTCCTTTTGCTATGTTTCAATCTTGTTACGCATTTCTAAAAATTAATTTTAATTAGTTTCATTATAATATTAAATATATAATTTTTAAAGGCAAATATAATAATAATTATACATATAGAACTTCTCTAAGTCGATATGAGGCATCTTCTGCAAGTCTTTTTAATAAAGAATCTGGCAAGGGATACATTCCAAGTTCTTCTCCAATTGAAGATATCCAATCTGTACTAAGAACAGCATATCTCCTTGTATTATCAGTTGTATTATTGGAATCTCCATTATTATTATTATTATTAACGAAAGAATTATTATATCCTGAACCAGTTTGATTTGTTAACATTTCTTTCATGATTTCGAATTAAAAAATATAAATTTTTCATTTACAATGATTTTAAAACAATATGGCTGACAAAATGAAAATTGTATCACATTATAATTTTTTTAATTTTAATTTAAAATATTTCAATAATATTAAATAAAAAGCATATCTTAATAAAAAATATCAATATGATTTATTAAATTTTTAAATATTAAAAACGAATTATTATAGTATCAGTATCAATCTATATTTTCATAACTATAAAAATTAGAAATTATAATTTTATCCAAAAGATGACGCTATTAGTCACATAAAGTTTTCTTTTTTCCTTGTCTATTTTACGTAACAATTTATTGTCTATCATTGTCACGTGAAAGCTGACGTTTCGTAAAATTTCAAGGGGCACGTCGACCAATCGGAAGTGTCGACGAAATTTACGCACAGAAATATCACTGACGTGTCCACGGAAAGGAGACTGCTTCAAGAGTTTATGATTATTCTCAGTTTGTACAAGAACATTACTTGGAAAACAATAGTGCTTAGAGAATTATATTGATTCCGGTAATTTGTAAAGCAACGAAATTATGGCAGCAGTGTTAAATACGTTTGTGAACTCTTTCCATAAGAAATTGTAAGTATTTTTTTTGTCGAGTAATGATGAAAATTTATATGATGAAATGACATTTTTATCGATATTGTAGATATATTATTTTAATTTTATCATATGTCCTAATTTACCGGTATATTATTATTGTTTATATTTATATTCAGATTTATATACAATAATTCATGATGATGTAACTCGGAAGTTACTAAAAAAATGTTTCATTTGATAAAAATGATGAATCTTTCTTCCTATATATCTTTGAATAAAATTATTTATCGTGATATGCGTTTTCCTTTATCTGTGTTATTGATATATTATATGTCCTTCAAATACATAACGTAGATTCTAGAACTTCATTAATCTGAATATTTTATGTACTGAAACTTTTTATTCGAGAATTTAGTATGCATGACGTGTTACAAATACATTAAATATAATTACGTTTATAAAATTATATTTTTACAGTTTAATTATTTTCCTTTATATTTTGATTTCTCTTTTAAGTCTTATTTCTTTTTTTAATAACTTAATTATTGTGTTGTTACTTTTATAAAACAGATATAGGGAAGAAAGGTATTGCCATTTGAAGAACTTATTCTTAATTTTTAGTTATCTTTAAAAAAAAATATTAGTAAAAAAAATTGAAAATTTTGTATATAGTATTTATTTATATAGAAAAAAAAATAACAAGAAAATATAAAATTTTTAATGCAATTTAATTTTACATTGATAAAATTATATATTATTTCTAATATATATTACATATTATTTATAATATATTTTTAATGGTTGCTTCACGATTTCACATTATTGTATTTACTTAGAACAGGAAAATCGAAGATAATTGTAAACTACACAATTATGCAATATTATCTTGATGGAATAAAACAAAAAATATTGATTTTAACATAAAAGTTCCATGAAAAGTACTTTATTAAAAAAAAATTAATGTTAATAATGACATAAATACTATGAAAGATATATAAATATTTATTTTACGTGTAAAATTTGAAAGAGATTGGTTAACTCTTATCGAAAAATTATGGCAACCAATTTAGGAAACATTATTCCGAGAAAAGCACATTAATATTTTGTGTGCAACATGTTTTAATATATACATCGATATATTTGTATGAAATTTTCTATTAAAAATCATAGATAACCGATTTGCTATTTTTACCGCGTCATATAGCTATCTGTCCATTTCTTATCTCTTACCTGAATAAATATAATCGTTTACTGATCAATGCGCATCCTCATTTCAGACATATTTGTAAAATAATCTTTCATTGAATATTATGTAAATTGCTGTGAAATTAAAAATTTTTATAAAAAATTTTGCATAATATAAATTTTGATATAAAGATCAACAAATTTAAATTTTATCTTTATTTTCTATGTATGTATCTATAATTAATATTTTTTCTAAATTTAAATTATTTAAATTTTTATATATTTAGAATTGTATATATATTCACATACATACATTCTTACAAATTAAATTACTATGATATCGATTATATATTTTTAAAATGTTTGTACTTTAAAAATAAAAATTTTTTACTTTTTCCTAATGAGAATATCTTAAATATATATAAGAAAATAATATTTATAATTTATAATTATAGGGAACCTCCTGTTAGACAACATTTGAAAAATGTCTATGGATGTCTGTCCATGTCAACATTATCAGCTGCTGCAGGAGTTTACATTCACATGTTCTCAGAGCTTTTACAAGCTAATTTCCTAACAACTCTTGGTACATTGGGTCTTCTCTTTGCCTTAGTCAGCACACCAGACAATGGAAAAAATCAAAAATTACGTCTTAGCTATCTTCTGGGATTTGCATTCTTCTCTGGACTTGGCCTGGGTCCATTACTTCAATTAGTTATGAATGTTAATCCAAGTATTATAGTAACTGCTTTGATAGGTAAATGATAACAATATAAATTTATTCTTTAAATGTGAAAGATAATAATAATAATAATGGAAGATTAAAATGTGATGTAAGTTATGATATAAGATATAAGATATATGATATAAGATATAATTATTTTTCTAGGAACAACTATTATATTTGTATCATTCAGTATTTCTTCTCTTTTGGCTGAAAGAGGACGTTGGTTGTATCTTGGTGGTACCTTAATTAGCTTGCTAAATATTATGGTTTTATTTTCATTCGTCAATCTCTTTTTACGTTGGTCTCTATTTTACCAAGCCCATTTATACATTGGTCTATTTTTGATGTGTGGTTTTGTTATTTATGATACACAATTAATCATTGAAAAATTCCATATTGGTAGCAAAGATTTCATCCTACACTCTTTAGATCTATTCGTAGATTTCATCGGTATTTTCCGCTACCTCGTCATAATTCTTACACAAAAGGTAAAAATTAATAATTATATAGAAATATTATTTTATATATTATGAAATATAAAGAATATATTAAATTTATTAATATTTATAATGTTCATTACAGGAAATGTCAAAAGATCAACGTAAACGCAGAGATTAAATGAAAGTAAAGAAAGCTGTAAAATATCATACCATTCAAGTAAATCCATAAACTAGAGGTCTTCATCTTATCTATCCATATGTAAGCCGTATATGTACCATGATAAAATGAATTTAAACAATACAGCTTATTATTCGGAAAATTTTTAGGCATGCGTTAACTGTAAAAACGCAATGTATTTATTTCGAATTACTTAGTTATCATTTCTTTTTTCAATTATCTATTAGATTTATATACATGTATACATAAATAGATATAAATTTATTGTACTATATTTTTATCTTTCAATAAACAAAATTTCCCAGCGTTTCTGATTTCTTTTCTATAAATTTAAGGATATTCTTAAATATAAAAAATTATTAAATGTACAAAATTTGATGTTACAGGATTGAAGTCTTATTTATTAAAATGTAACTTTACACATATGATTATCATTTACATGTGCATATAAAACAAAAATTACATGTTACGCATCGATTTTCGTGAATATAAAAAATTATGAGAAAACAAATCGATGATAGTGAGTTTAACACATGGTCATGAAAAATTTACATACGTTGAAATTGTGTACAAACTGTGTACAATACATCAATAAGTGATTTAATCACTTTTTAAATTGTGCCTAATACGGCCGCTGACGATCCCTGTCTCTATCTCCTCGGCTGAAATAAAAGAAGAAAAAAATAATAATTACTTATTATTTACATATTTAATTTAAATAATGTTATTATATATATGAAACCAACCCTCCACCACCTCTCATCGGACCACCTCGACCACCTCTTCCTCCCCTATCTCCACCACGGAAACCTCCTCGACCACCTCTATCACCACCCCGTCCACCTCTATCACTTCTGAAACCTCCTCGGCCACCCCGATCGCCACCACGATTGCCTCTTCCACCACCACTGCCA